AAAAATATTGCTATGAGAAATGTCTGAGATTTTACTGCTTATGTTTTCTTCTAGGATTTTCATGGTTTCGCGATGTACATTTAAGCCTTTTATCTATTTTGAATTTATTCTTGTGTGTGGTATAAGTTGGTGCTCTTGTTTCATTTTTTTTTGCACATACTTGTCCAATTTTCCCAACACCATTTATTGAAGAGATTGTCTTTACTCCATTGTAAGTTCTTGCCTCCTTTGTCAAATATTAATTGACCATAAAGGTGTGGGTTTATTTCTGGGCTCTCTGTCCTGTTCCATTGATCTATCTGCCTGTTTTTATGCCAGTACCAGGATACAATAAGCCACTTTTAGATTCAGACACTTTGTTACTTTAGACAGTGAAAAGACGAAGCCAAAAGTGCCAGTTCCCCATGATCCTTGTCCTACACACTAAAAAGGATGATACTGAAACAAAAGGGATCATATGACTACAATGTAAGTTATGAGGCACCCTATTGCTGAGGAGCCACTTCTAGACTCCAGCTATGCAGTTTTATATTGTGTAGGTGCCATTGGTGGGAAGGGAGTGGCACAAAGTCCCATCTCTCATTAGACAGGCTCTCGGGAGGTAGGGAAGCGAGTGGGAGATGGCTTCTCATCCCCTTCTGTTTTGGGAGGATCACAAGGCATTTTTCCAAGACAATTAGCTTCAGTTCAAGCCAGCTGTGGTCTACATGGCTTATTTGGATACCTGCAAGGTGGTCGAGTGACATGGCCAGAGCTATTCTCTTATAGTTCCTTGGCCTGTGGGATAAGGCTATCACATTGCAGAACCTTACCAGGAAACCTCTAAATTCTTCCCCAGTCCTCAGCTAGGATAGTAAATTATAAACAATGTCACATCCCCAAGGGGAATGGCAGAGATTAGTGCAACCCTTAAATACCTGATAGTTGATAGTCCCCATCATAGTTCTATTTTCACCAATCTGGCTCCATAAAAACACACAAATTCAGGAGGCTGACAGAATTTGACTACTGCAAATTCAATAAAGTTGTAGCCTCACTTGCAGCTGTGGTATGTTTACTAGAGCAGATTCACAAGACCTCAGGCATATGGCATGTGGCCATTGATATGGCAAATTCTTCTTTTCCTTCACTATCAGGCAAGAGGGTCATAGCAGAAGTACGTATTTAGTCTTTCCCCAAGGCTATGTACTAAATAAGAATAACTTATCAAGTAAGGGGGATTAAAGTAATTAAAGAGTGCATGTAGAGGCCTCATGGACAATGGAAAGATGGAAAAATAAGATCCCATCCCCTAGCAGAGGGACAACATGTGGGATTTATATTCAGATTTCTGACCATCAGTTCATACATTAGGATTATATCTAATTGAAGAATTACATTTTTTTTAATCCCATGATAGGACAGCGTCACAGACCCTATGTTGGAATCTTATGACAGAATGTTTTATTGAGCAGAAACATTCAGTGCTGCTCTCTAAAGAATAAGTAAATCCTAATCTGTTGAACTCAGGCATGACCACGTGACTTGTTTAGCCAACAAAATAGGAACAGAATGTGAAACTGTCACCTCTAGGTAGCCACTTTAAGAGCTAGGTTCTCTTTTCACTGCCTCCATGATGATGAAAGTATGTGTCAAGATGCAGCAACTATCAAACTATATGAGCACAACCTCTTCGCTAACCTGCAGTGAACATAACATGAGAAAGAAATAGCTGTTGTTGTTTTAAGTTGCTAATATTTGGGGATTAGTTTGTTACCACAGCATATCCAAGTAATCCTGACCACATAAAAGGAGGCACTCCCCCTACAGTCTGCCCATCTACCCAAAGCCTAAAAATCTGCTTGGCCTTTGTTGTGGACATTTATAGTTGCTTTTCCAGGATCCATTTCCCTATCCCATAGCTTCTGACAGGGGTTTCCACGTGATTCCAGTGACGTTAACTCTATCCCAACCTCCAAGGGGCATGTTGCCTAGGCTAAGCCAATCGGAAAATTCCATTTCCTCAGCCATGGTGGACATGTGTCCAAGCACAGTGAATCTTAGGACTCTGGCTGGAAATGCACATATTTACCAATATTAGAACAATTTTCACATTTATTTACCATTAGTTATGTACTATCTTAGTAACTGGACTATGTATTATTGAGAACAGGAATCATAATTTACTTTTTTATTGCCAGAACCTAGCATAATGGTTGGCACAGTATAGATGTTTATAAATAATCATCGATCAATTAAATGGGGAATAAAATTCTACTCTTTTTCTTCAAATTTCACTCCTCAAATTTCAGGGTGACCTATCTGTCTAGAAACGACATTTAACAATTTGTACTTCTGTCCTTTCCTCCATCCTGATTTAAGGATAAATAAATGTGCCCAATATCGGCCTGACTTTCGAAAAATTACAGATAAAAATTTCCTTCTCATTTGCCTGTGATGTGTATGACATTTGTATAGCTACTCAGGCAGATCTCTTCTGGGTTCCCTTCTGCTGAGCAGCATCAGCACCAAAACCCCACAATGAGTGAAGCAACTATCTGCCTCTTTGTGAACACACCAGGCCAGCCATGTGGTTCTGGCGGAGTCTCACTTCCAAGGTCAACTCATGTTTCCTTGTCAAATGTGTCCTTACAATGCCCAGGAATACTATCAAATACCAAATGGCCTCCAGGATTATTTTAACCTTTCACATTTTCCTCAAATTGCCTATCTCCTTTTTCTCCTGCCCTCCAATCCCAACCCCACCATCCAAGACTTAGCCTCTTCCAGAAAACAGAAATCATCAAATGGGAGTTTTCTCATTTTCCTGAAACCAAATACCTACAACTATACTAACCTCCTCTTCTCCAGTTGTGACAGAATGGTCCTAAATCCCATGCTTTGAATACTCTCATTTTTAAAATCTTATACCATCTCTCAATCCTTCTCTATCTTGCATATTCATCTTCTTTTTCATGAGTCCTTCCCATTAGTTTAAATGCACTCAAGTGTCTTTCTCTTAAAAAAAAAAAAAAGTCACTTGACTTATTCCTATTAGCTACCAATTATATTTTTCCTCCCCTTCACATCTACTCTTCTCATTTTCTCCCGAAGACAGGAAAGGCAGTGGTGTACAGTGGTTAAGACTATGGGTTCTGGTACCACACTGCCTAAATTGAAATACATCACTTAATGGCTCTGAGACCACGATCAATTACTTCACCTCTCTATGCCTCAATTTCCCCACATGTAAAAAATTATAATGTTCTTCTCTGATAATGCTGGTGTAAGAATTAAATGAGTTAGTATATGTGAAACACTGACAACAGTGCTTGGCACACAGTAAGCACTATATAAAGGTGTGTTTTAATCACTTTTACTTTCATTTCGTCACTCATTCATTTCTCAGCCCATTCTGACACATCATCATAAGCAGAGTTTATTAAGAACACCAGCCCTGACCGGTATGGCTCAGCAGTTAGAGCGTTGGCCCTTGGACCAATGAGTCATGGGTTCTATTCCAGTCAAGGGCACGTACCTCGGTTGCGGTTCCTCTGGCTCTGGTCAGGGTCATGCTGGAGGCAGCCAGTCGATGTGTCTCTTTCACATCGATGTTTCTCTTTCTCTCTCTCTCTCCCTTCCTCCCTCCCTCCTACTCTATCTGAGAATAAATGGAAAAATATCTGTAGGTGAGGATTTTAAAATAAAAGAATACCAATGATCTCTATGTTGCTAAATCTAACAAATATTTTTCAGTCATCACTTGAGGTCTAGGCAGCTATTAACAATGTTAACACTTTCTCTTTCCTAGTCCTTGGCTCCAATTACCACCTACCTGCTGGTTTCTTATTCACATTTATCTGTAGCCCACACCTCTCTTCTACTCTCCAGACCCCATCATGCCAGTTTCTGGCCTGGACATCTCTTCTTGAATGTCTCAAAGGCATCTCAGATGCACTACATCCCAAAACAAAACCGTGATCTTTCTCTCCCAACCCCCTTTGCTTTAAATATTCTTTCAAGCCCCTCTTCACTTGGCTGACCCCTACACCTATTTCAGATTTTAGCTTAATATCACTTCCTTAGGGAAGCCTGAAGTGAATATCCTCAAAGAACTTTTCTAGCACTTGGCACCCCTACTTCACACCTGCCATCAGACAGTTAAGTACTCAAGGTCAGGCACCATGTCTGCCTTCTCACTACTGTACCCCAGGATGTGAGTGAGGTAGCCTCCAGAGCCCTTTCATTTGCACTGGGGTCTACCTGCACTCCTTAACAAGCATTAACTGTGCCGCTCTGTGCCAAGCTAAGACACTACTGAGATACTTAAAACTTAATGGAGTGCCAAAATGTCTAGCAGGGGAAACAGTATTTAACCAATCCCCCAAGTTACTTTCCATTGCAATAAAAGGTTTATGAATGACTTTTTTCTTAAGCCTAATCTAGGGAGATTCGCCCATTGGACGGCCAGCACTATGCACTGCCTTTAACAATGCAACAGGTCCAAGCAATCAGTGCAATTGGGGGGCGGGGGGCGGGGAGCCATTGTGTTTACACCTTACTACGTGGGACCGCTACCCTATCCTAACCTTGGCAAGCCAACTACCTATAACCCAGCACTCCCGCGACCCAATACACAAAACAGCAGCGAAGAGGTCCCCGGTGACTCCAGGCAGCTCCCCTGCCGCTGCGAAGAGTGAAGGCAGGAAACTCCAGGGAGGAAAAGCAGAGGCCTGAGTTTAGTGACCAGTCTGTGGTTGACGCCGGGAGGGACAGAGAGGGCTGAAAAGAGAACAGAGTAGAAGTTCCCGTTCGGGCAGGGCAGGAAAGTTTGGGAGAGGGCAGAAAAGTTGGACCTCGCCACTCAGGGCCAATCCCGCGATACTGTAACAAATTCCCGGGATTTCCCTTCAACTCCCGCTGAACACCCGTAGGGGCGGGGCGAGAAGAGAAGACGGCGGCCTGAGGCAGCCCGCCTCACCGCTTCTCGGGATCTCGAGAGAGTCGCGCTTCTCGCGACATCGCGTGCTGTGACCCGAGAGCGGGGAGGGCGGAGACTGTGCGGGAGCGGATCCTTTGGCCCGCCCTACCGAAGTCCGCGAGGCAGCGTGGTGACCGCTGTCCCGTCCCGTTGTCCCGATGCCGAGCGCCAACGCCAGCCGCAAGACTCAGGAGAAGCCGCGGGAGGTCATGGACGCGGCGGAAGTGGGTTTCCCCCTTCCTCGGGCCTGGGAGGACAGAGCCCTGGGCCGGATCGCGCTGAGGGAGGGGGTAGGGTGAGCCGGCTCCTGCCCTCGAGGACCCTGTGGGCACCTGGCGGGCAGGCCGCGGGCCTGGGTTCGGGGCGCCCAGGGTCCTCCCCGGGGCTCCGGGGCCCTTGCTCGAGCAGCGTGGCCAGACCCCGTCCAGCTCGCCTCGCGCACAGGCCCGGCTCGCCCGAGCGTGCGGGGGGCGTGGACGTGGAGCACCCCGTCCCGGAAGTAGCCGCACGCAGGCCCTGGGTCAGGCCGTCCTTCACGTCCGTCCCCTCGGAGAAGGGGAATGACCACCAGTGGTCAGTTTTCACTCGGCCCGCGTGTTCCGAACGTTTTTGCGAGTGAGGCCAGCACTTAGTAAAACGGACTGGCCGTGTTCAGTGACCGTTCCCCGGGTGACGGCTTTCAAGAACACTTGTTTTTATTTTCTTCCTCCCTCAAAACGACTCCGTGAACGAGGAAGTTTGCAGAGAATACGTTTGAGATGAAGTGAACCAAAATAATGGGGTGATTCATAGCACCGAGTGGTCTCGGTGCTTTTCAGAAGTGAAAGCTTGATGCCACCCGACAAGTTAGGTGTGTTGTATTAAAGCAGCCTTTAATCACTGCCTGGTTCCTAACGTTTCTATGGTGGAATGACGAATTTGTGATCAACTACATGAGGAATAGGACATTTTAATAATATCAAATAGATAAAGGTTGCTGAGATGTCAACAGTAATCCATTTATGCTGCCCTAATGCATCACTTGTCTACTTAATAAGTGTAGTGTTTTAATAGTAGTCTGAACCCTAGATCTCTTGTTTCCTGTTCCTGACTTTGAATCTGTAAAAAGAAATTCGATCATATTGTCATTGTCACTTGTAACCTGGTAAGGCTGAAGCTGATTTTTAGAAAGAGGAAGCTGGTGGAGTTTTTAATGTTTTCCAAAAGGAAAGTTGTCAGTAGCTTATGTCCAACATCTTCATCTAGTGCTCAGAAAGCTTACGCAACAATGTTGGTTCTCTTTGAACATCTGTTCCTGTAGTAGAAAGTTCATAAAACTGGTACTTCATCCTACTCCCTTCACAGAGGAAATTTATATCCCTGCTTGGAAGTAGTTTCTTCTCATTTTGACGAAGGTCGTTGTGATGTGTTGAACATGTGTAAATTTTATCTGAGAGTGCTATTAGGTATGGTATATCCATCCAAGAGTAGTGATCTTCAAAACAAACCAGAAACTGGGGGCTTATCCTTTTTCTGTAGAGTACATATGTAAATAATATGACAGATTTCCACACTAAAACTACAACTCTTTGGCCCAGCCGGAGTGGCTCAGTAGATTGAGCGCCCGTCCCATGGACTGAGAGGTCCTGTTCTGATTCCTGGTCGGGGCACATGGCTGGGTTCCTGGCTCCATCCCCAGCGGAGGGCTGCAGGAGGCAGCTGATGGATGTTTCTCTCTCACATCAATGTTTCTCTCTCTCCCCTTCTCCCTCTCTAAAATAAATTTTAAAAATTTTATTTAAAAAAAAACTATAACTCTTTGAAGTAATAAAATGGTCTCGAAGGTTAAAACTTATATATTTTTACATTCTATTACTTGTTTTTATGTGTTTATGCTATTCATTTTTAAATAAGTCATAATGCAAGAACATTTTTTTGTAGGATTTTGCTAAAGAAAGATATGGAGTATCTTCAATGATACAGTCACAAGAAAAATCAGGTTAGTAGCTATGTGATAATAAAGAAACCTTTTTTTTCTTGTAATTCCAGAAAAACTGTTCATGAAGTTTTGGTTAAGGTTGGTATAACTTTGAAAAACTTAAATGACAGTAATGACCGAAGCAGATATCATAATCCTGTGTAAACATTGTCAGTTTAGGGGCCCTAATCTAGAAAGGGAAGAAAGTACATTAAATGAGTATATTTTAAGTGTTAAATTATATTAAAAACATATTCCTAAGTGATTTAGTAAAATATTTAAGATTTAACTCTGGCCCAGTAGTAAAAGAATAATTAATAATAAACTGCCTTCATCATATGCAACCTTTTTGCATGCTTTATGAAGCTACCTTCTTTAACTTGACTTCATTAGATTTCTTTGAAATTGACTTGCCACATGTTTTTTGTCTTAAAGCTATTGATTTTTTATTTGTAAACATTCACCTTTATTTTTCATTTGTTTGTTTGTATTTCAACAGATTATCCTATTCAGCTATTTAACAGTCATTTTTCTTTTGGTAGTTACCCCAAATTATGTCTTTCAATTTTTGGTACAACTGCAGACCTTTAAGTTCTAGCTTATTGGAAGTACTTCTAACTTAGAGACTTAACTGAATATTATAAAACATAACTCCAAGTCAGTTTTATTGTTATTTTGGATTCAATTTATTGCATGATCATAAAAGCACTTTTTTCCCCAACTTTATTTGGAAAAGTATCCAATAAAAGACCAAAATAATTTGCTAAAAATAACCCGTTTTCAAAAAATAAAGATGGTGAAGTAAAATAATTGAGTATAAAATGGAATAGAAGCAGTATAGTTTAAAGATGACATTCCCCTGCCAGGGCAAGCAGGAGGGGTCATTTGAGACCATTTTTAGCTTAACTGTCTTCCTGAACTAGACTGACTTTCTTGAACTCTAACACAAAGAAGCTCACTGGAGTTTCAGTCTGTTATGTAAACCCCAGTCACCCCTTACCATAATTACTGTTTCCATTTGGCTGGCAACTGCCTTCCAATTACAAGCTCTCCCCACCAGAGGGAAAGGAAACTTTATGTAATTCAATTACTGGGGCGTGACAGTAAAATTCTGCCTTTGGTTTTACCTCTGCTAAAACCCTAATACTTTGTTCAGGCAAAGTTTCCTTCCCCATTTGCTTCCATTTCTCCAAATTTCTTCATTCAAATGCCAGTGACTTAAAAGTATAAAGAAGGCAGTAGTTTTTCAAACTGAAATCCTACTGCCACTAATCATTGCCTAAGCCGTAATATTTGTGGGAGTGTGACATGTGTCTCAAGTATGTATGGATATGTTAAAGGTTGAGAACCCCTGTACTAATTAGTTGGAATACCACATGAAAGAAGGGCTATTGCTCTTTTTCAAAGTACTATTAAAGTTACCCTAATCATGACATTTATTTGTATGTCTAAGGTTTATATTATATTTCATTTAATTTTGAATTTTTATTGCCTAGTTAGTAAGTTATTGGCTTTTTTAATTTTGGCATTTCCAAATTTGTCTTTTAAATTTCTGTGCTGTTTTGTCTGTCTTTTCTCTTTCACACTTTCTTTTTTTTTTAACTTGACCTATTTTTATTTATTTATTCATTTATTTTGTTACAGATGTTTCTCCTTTTTTACCCCATTGACACCCTCCTCCCCATCCCCCCGGCCCCGGCCCCTGCTTTCTTTCACACTTTCTTTTGCCTGAGTTTATACAGCAGACTTGGAAGTTGGTTTCCTTTGACAATATTTTGTAGAAATTCTCTTGTGATGCCCGATGGCTTAAAAATTCCTCACTCATTCCCTGCTTTTGGCAGTGAGAACCATTATATTCTCCTGTAAATCAAACTCTAAGCTGCATCTTAGCTTCAAGAGACAAATTATAAGTACATTTAGATAAAGTGTAAAATATATCTATTTATATTTTGATGTCATAATAGTCCCCCAAAAAGGTATTTTTAGCATTCTAGTAACTAGGTTTACTGCACAAGATATTGATAAACTTGGTTAGTTAGGCAACATAACCCTTGATATCTTTTTTTGGTATGTGCCCCTTGCAGGAACCAAACCCGGGACTCTGGTCCGCAGGCCAACGCTCCAACCACTGAGCCAAACCGGCCAGGGCACCCTTGAGATCTTTTACTACTCTTGATGTGATGTCATGTACTGTGTTTTTAATTCACACTTAAATTTTAATGTAATATTCAAGTCATTGCATATTTAAAATAAAATGATTTCTGGATTATGATGGCCTCATATCATTATCTTCACATGATAGTTTTTTTTGTCACGGTTTTTCTATCTGGAGTACTTTGTTATTAGTATTGGGGCACATAGTTGTTGGGCCTCACTTACAGCCAGAATTTATTGGGTTATATAACTATAGGGAACAAAGTGAGATGGCATACATCATGATTGGATCTAGAGGCTCAATCAGTATCTACAAGGCTTTCTGTCTATCTTCTTGGCTCTGCTTCCCTTAGGTTATTTGGCTTCATCCTCTCATGCTACAAACTCAGGTAGTGAGACAGATGGTGGCTGCAGCCCTGGGCCTAGACCATCTCAGCTCAGCAATCTCAGGGGAGAGCTTCATTCCCAGTATTTGTATATTAAATTCCAGAGAAGGACTTGATTAGCTCAGGTTGAGCAACATGCCTTTCCCTGGATGGGCCACCATAACTTTCCAGGCCTGGCAGAGAATCCTCCCGTATGGCTAGCAGACTTACATACTATGGCAGGCAAGCTAACATACCACTTCCACCTAGGACCCAGTGGTTCTCAATCTTCCTAATGCCGTGGCCCTTTAATACAGTTCCTCATGTTGTGGTGACCCCCAACCATAAAATTATTTTTATTGCTACTTCATAACTGTAATTTTGCTACTGTTATGTCTTAGGCGACCCCTGTGAAAGGGTCATTTGACCCCCAAAGGGGTTGCAACCCATAGGTTGAGAACTGCTGACTTAGGCAAAGAAGGGTGAAGATAGACTGTACTTGGCCCTTTAAGTCACTGAAGTGTTCAGCAGATTGGCTTTTTTTTTTTAGCCTCACCCAAGGACACTTTTCCATTTTTGTTCAGATAGAGTGGAAGGGAGAGAGAGAGAGACACATCGAGTGGCTGCCTCCTCCACAACCCCAACCGGGGCCGGGGACAAACCGCAACCGAGGTACATTCCCTTAGTGGGAACCGAACCCCTGTCTCTGGACCACTGACCTACGCTCTAACCACTGAGCCAAATCGGCCAGGGCAGATTTGCATTTTAAAACTATCTCTGACTCTAGTGTAGACTGGATTAAGGGATCAAGAGATTGCCACTTACAAGATTATTGCTGTAATTTAGGCAAGTGCTTTGGGATGGTGGCAGTGAAGATAAAAGAGAATTGGGTAGATTTTTTATTTTAATCCTCACCTGACAATACATATTTTAGAGAGAGAGGAAGGGCAAGAAAGAGAGAGAAAATCATCGATGTGAGAGAGAAACATCGATTGGTTGCCTCCCGTATACACCCTGACCAGGGATCAAACCCAAAACCTTTTGGTGTACCAGTGATGCTTCAAGCAACTGAGCCTCCTGGCCAGGGCCTGGAAGATTGTATAGGTTTTAGAGATATATTTAGAAAGCACAATTCAAAAAAAGGGGCAAATTGCATATGGGGGGTGTTTTAATTTTTTTAATTTTTTTTTTGGTATGTGCCCCTAGCGGGAACCAAACCCAGGACTCTCTGGTCCGCAGGCCAATGCTCCAACCGCTGAGCAAAACCGGCCAGGGCTGGAGGGTGTTTTTTAAAAAGGTATAAAGGATTGAAAATTATTTAAGATAATACCAAATACTTACGCTGGCTGTCAAATCAAAATAATTATGATCTCTTTGTAAAGTCTGAATTACAAAAATGGTTTCATTTATTTGCTGCAGATCGAGTTTTGGTTCGGATTAGTGAATTGACAGTACAAAAAGCTGATGAAGTTGTTTGGGTGCGTGCAAGGGTTCATACAAGCAGAGCTAAAGGTAAGATTGAGTTAATGACTTAAAAAACTCTTTGTTAAGGACTCTGAATATTTTTTGCATATATTTCATAGACCAAAGTAAACCTTTAAAAATAAAATAAAAACACCTGTTTTTTTCCTTAAATTATTAGTCTGTGGTTAATTAACTTTAGGTTCTTATAAGACAGCCTGAAATATAATTTGACCTTAAAGACTCAGATGAAATCTAATGCTTTAAGTTACTGTTTTTAAGAAGCTTTTTATTTGTTAATATTCTTTTATTTGTAATATTTAGATAGGGAGAGAGGTGGAAGAGATAGAAGGCTAAAACTGGGTTGTCCAATACAGTAGCCACTGACAACATGTTGTTATTAAAATTCAATAGCTCAGTCACTAGATGTATTTTGAGTGCTTAATAGTCATAATGGCTAGTGACTCCTATATTGCACAGACAGCAACAAATATAGAATGTTTTTTATCATTGTAGAAAGTTCTCTTGGACAGTATTAAGAATTTAGCATTAACAACAGAGAAGATGGATAAGGACCTTAGTTCCTTATGGAAAATTGTCCTAGCCTGGTGTTCAGAATTATCTGAAAATATTAATGACGTTAGTTTATAACTTGATGCTTTTCACACACTTTTTCGCATTTGATCATCCCTACAGATTTGTGATGTAGGCAGAACAGGCATTGCTGTTCTACTTTATAAATGAGGAGACTGAGATTCAGAATGATAAAACTACTTGCCCAAGTTCTCATAGTAATTGGTGGAATAGGAACAAAATCCAGAAGCTTTCTAAGACATCTTCTGTCTCCCTAAGAGTTAACTCGTCCTATAGCATTTAATACCTTCTGTGTTACAGCGTTTCTTACATTGTGATTTGAAATACTTAACATAATTAATATGGGCTCACTTTTTTAAATCCCAATATTTTATACATGTCTCACTCTCTTAGGGTCACTACTATTGTCTATTCTTCCAGTATTCTGCCCCCAAGTAGATGAATCCAGTAAGCTTGGAGAATAATACTGGTGGAATTTTAACTTTTTAAAAAATGTTGATTTAGCCTACCTGGAGTAGCTCAGTGGTTGAGCTGAGCATTGACCCATGCACCAAGAGGTCACTGGTTCGATTCTCTGTTAGGGCACATGCCCAGGTGTGGGCCCGATCCCCAGTGGGGGCATGCAGGAGGCAGCCAGTCGATGTTCTCTCTCATTGATGTTTCTTTCTCTCTCTCCCTCTCCCTCTCCCTCTAAGATCAATTTTAAAAAAAAATTAATAAATAAGTAAATAAAAAGATCTTATCTCTTAGGGATTCATACTTAATTATATATGAATGAAATACTATGGCTGGGGTTTGCTTCGAAATAGTACAAGCATTGAGGGATAAACAGATTGGGTTAAAGCTGAGACAAGAATGACTATGAATTGATAATTAAAGTACATGAGGATTATAGATAGACATTGGTATCATTTTCAAATAATGATCATTCTGTCCTTTTCTTTCAAATGCTTATCTCATTTCATGTTGTTTCTCTTTATAATAATTAGTAGATTCTTTCTAGTCCCGTAGGGATTCTCACAGTGAAGGATTTTTGTTGTTAATCCTCACCTGAGGCCCTGGCCAGTTTGGCTCAGCGGTTAGCGTCGGCATGCAGTCCAGAGAGACTTGGATTCGGTTCCCGCTAAGGGCATGTACCTTGGTTGCAGTTTGTCCCTGACCCTGGTTGGGTTGTGTGGGTGGGAGCTACTTGATGTGTCCCTTTCACATCAATGTTTCTCTCTCCCTCCCACTCTGTCTGAACAAAAAATAGAAAAATAACCTTGGGTGAGGATTAAAAAGAAATCCTCACCTGAGGATATTTTTTCATTGGCTTTTAGATGGAGGGGAGTGAGGGGGAGAGAGAGCGAAAGAAAAAGAGAAAGAAACATCAATGTGAGAGGGACACATTGATTGGTTGCCTCCCGCATGACCCTGACCAACCCAATTGGGGTCCAGGATCGAACCTGCAACCCAGGTACATGCCCTTGACTGGAATTGAACCCACGACACTTCAGTCCTCTGGCCGACGCTCTAACCACTAAGCAAACTAGCCAGGACACACTGAAGAATATTTTACATAGCAGAAATTTAAACGCCTGATGAGTTATTGCATGACTTTATAGGTGTTCTGCATAAAATGTCAGTAGAAAGCAGTGGTGGAGTTCAAAAAGTATTGAAAGAAGTTCTCTAGTCTAAGTTTTCTATCAGAAATATATGTTAAATTTTATGAGATGTTTTTCCACCAATATTTTTTCTCAAAACATAATTGTAAGTGTATTTATGTAGAGCTTCATTATACTATTCTCTCTGCTTTTGTGTTGGTTTGAAATTTTCCATATAATAAAAAGTAATTGTTCATAGATTGTGTATTTACAAACTCACCTACTTGCTAAAATGTATTTTTAACCCCAAAATCAATATGTGCAGCACTTTCACTGTCATTCACAGACATGTGCAGAGTGGCAAAAAATTTGACTTGCCCAGTACATAGATTCCCAGCTGAAGTCAAACACGGTGAAGTTCTGCCTTCTTGAATTAGCTCTCATAAACAGGTGTCCTTTTCACAGTCTGTTTAGTGCCACATTCTTCAGTTTTGTACTTTTTGTTGGTGATCTGCTATTTAAAATGGCCCCCAATCACAGCACTGAAATACTTTCTAGAGGACTGTAATATGCTTTACGGAGAAAATACATGTTAGATAAGCTTCATTCAAACATGAGGTATGGTGCTGTTTATGAGTTCAATGTTAACGAATCAACTGTATATATAAAATAAGGTGTCTTTAAACAGAAACAAACAAAACAAGGTTATGTATTGATGGACTGATGAAAATACTGTAAACAGAGGCTAACAGGAACCTAATCCTATATTTCCCCTAGGAACATTGCTTCAGTATTCGCTAATTTATTGTTCCTAGAGATTTTATAGAACATAACTACCACAAATAGCAAGAATCAACTGTATATATCTCACCTTAAAGGGCAGTGTTTTATACATTCTTAAATATTAAAATTCGACTTCTTACATTAAGTTTACTATCACATTGCTAAAATCAAGTGTTTTATATAGGAGCAAATTTATAACTCTTAATGATACATTTAAAATTAGTTTCTTTCCACTGTGAAAGCTTATGAGATTAAGTCTGCATATTGAAAGAGTAATTGAAGTATCAGTGGTTCCCTTCAAGGAAATCATTGGCATTAAATAATCCACTTTCAATACTCTTTTTCCTAAAAACTTACTTATACTTCCAAAATAGCTCATTTATTTTGGTAAATAGATAAGTTAGGATTTTTAATACCAAATGTCAGAATCTCAACTAACATCCATGCAAGAATATTTTAGGGGAAATAACAAATGGAAAGTATTTAAAATAATGAGTCTTTGCTGCTTAATTTCCTCACTGATTAACATAAATAATGAAGGAAAATGTTAATGTTGGGAATCAGGAAGTTAAAATATATTATCTAAATAATGAAATCAGGAGCTCAGCAAGGTGAAAGGCAGTATAGGAAGAGATCAGAACATAAGATTGCCTCACATCTTTGATAACCTAGTTCTTCCACAAAGGCCCACCTTATTAGGAGCCATCACTGTAATGAAGATGAAAATAAAATAAACCTTTTAGTCCTGACCATCTACCTTTTTTTTTCCCCCCCCAGAAATGAAAATTGCACTCTGGGTATTGTACAAAATAGTACTCCTTTGAAAATTTAAGAAATAAATTGCTGTTTCTAAAAACTTAAAAGTCAAAATTCAACACAAAATTTTAACTGTTAATGACTTAAACTTAGACTATCCAAAAATACTGATTTCATTCAGCTGTTGTGAATGTTGACTCTATCTTTCTTTTTTTTTTTAATCCTCACCCGAGGATATTTTTCCATTTTTTGTACAGATAGAGAGGAAGGGAGAGAGAGAGAGAAACATCGACATGAAGGGACACATCGAGTGGCTGCCACCCGCACCACCAGCCAGGGCCGGGGACAAACTGCAACCGAAGTACGTGCCCTTAGCGGGAACCGAACCCGGGTCTCTCGGGACCGCAGGCCGTCGCTCTAACCACTGAGCAAAACTGGCCAGGGCGACTCTGTCTTTCTATATAAACTGTCTCCTGGTTGGAAAGTTCCAAGAAGGAAGATAAGTAATATTTAGCAGTTGATTTATCTGTCCTATGGTTTCTGTACTAACTTAAATGCAGTAAGTACTTGTTGCTAAACTGAGAAATTAGATACTTGCTTCTTAGCATAAAAAATAAATTAAAATTTTAATAATGCAGAAATATATAAAATAAATAAAAAATAGAAGTCTCATAATTCTAGCTTCCCCATTCCATCTCAATCTCTTGCCCTCAAAATAATCACTGTTGTTTTTTATGAACCCTTCCGGGGGGGGGGAGTACATTTACTAGCACGGGTATATCCTTTGTTTTTTTTAAATTTTCATAAAAAGTGTTGTGCACACACTGTTCCTGTCATCACTCACCAGTGAGTGATAACTATAAAATAATAGCTTGCAGAACATTGAACTAAACAGATCATGCAGTGCAGTGTATTACTTACCAGAGCCAAAGAAAGAACAGTTTTGCTTACTAATACTTGACAAGAACTTGGTCTCAAAAGTACTTGGTAGAAGAAGTAAGCAGATAGTTCTATTTACCAGGAAACCAGTACTGATTTTTTGTTTGTTTGTTTGTTTGTTTTGAGTCTTTTAAAAAAATTATTTAAGTGGAACACCAAGATTCTAGTATTGAAAGTGTTTTGAACACAGAAAGTTTGGAGACCATAGTATTAAAGTCACAAGGAGATCTGTTCCACTAGTAAAGACTACATAAATATGAAGTGAATGATAATAGAACTTCAGTTCTTTTATGTAATAACACTGTTAAGAGACATTTTCTGTACTTAATTGCCCTAACATACATTCTAAGAAATGTGTTGGGTTTTTTTTGAGTCTAAGAGAACATCTTTAAGTGT